GCAGCTTACTCTTTCGGCCGTTGATTTCCTCTGTTTCTTGTTTATATCCCCGTCGGATTCGGTGCGCATCGTTCGCCTTCCTTCCACAATCTCTGTCTTGCTTGACGAAGGTTCAACGAAACTCTGACATGGTTTGGTGACTAGCGGCATTCCCAGATCTTCACCGTCTGGTCAACACTACCGGTGACCACGTAGGGATGACTTTTGTGAAAATCTAGAAACAGTCGTTGGCTTTAGTTTATGGTTCAACAGTGTAACGTCAGGCTGGAGGGATGTGAGTGTAATTAGTGCAGCGTTTTAAGCAGGTTTTATCTTCATTGTGTTACGTACCCTGGAATATGTCAGTCTTAGGAAGCCTGTGGGTTAACGTTATAACAAAGATAGAAAGAAACCTATCATTCGGGAGGATTTCAGTTCTCTTTTGGCAACGAACTGAATGTAGTTGTGTCAATTCAATGTTTCTTTTAATCATCAGTGAAAATGAATGAGAGATTAACATTGATAAATACCTACATGATGATAGAAATATAGGTACATAGACTGTTATCGAGAAACAAACATTGCAGACACGATTCAACGTCTGTCTCCATTATCAACTTTAAACATGTTAAGTAATGTTGAAAGAAAAATATAACTTGTAGGTTTCTTTTGTCTTGTATCTGTTTACCGTATAGAACTTTCTAAACTGTAAGGTTTTTTATAATAAAAGTATTGTTTTTCACTTTTCCTCCCTAAAACCAGGAGCATTCTGAATAATTAACATTTCTAACAGAGCATATCCTTGCGTACAGTGATTACTAGAAAAGTTAGGTTATATTAGAATGGTATACAAGATAAATGGATATAAAAGGTACATTCTCCCATGCATTGTAGATTTATAATGCTCCAAAGAATTCTATACACTGAACGTATCGTCTTACACTTACCAACAGAGGTGCAGAAGTGGACATGCGCCTCAAGAGTTTTCATTGCTCGCTTGTTGCGTGTGTCCCAGACTCGCAGTGTTTTATCGTCAGAGGCACTGACGATAAACTTGCCACCGGGATGGAAAACAATACCGCGCACCCAATTGTCGTGTCCTAAGAGGGCGAACAGGCATATACCGGCGCCGACGTCCCATACGCGGATTACTTTATCTCGTGAGCCAGATGCAAGGAAAGGTCCTTCATGGGCACCTTTATTGTCAGCACCTGCTGCAGCATTGATTGATGCTCTTGCAGTCTCCGGTGCCCATGTGATGCACTCCACCACGTGGTCATGGTCTCTGAGTTCGACCTAAAAGTTACAGTCAAATCGTACACTCTGGTATCTTCTCTTTTGACAATTCGTCTTCAGGATTACGTAAGATTTCATTGGGAATATCAATTGTTCACAGAACGGAGAATAGTTTCACAAAGTATTCTGTGCGTTAGTTGATGTTCTTAATTCTGGAAGTATTCTCAAGTCTGTTGACAATTTATCGTTAAGATTGTCTGCATTAATCTATTGGTTAACGCGGAGGATACTTTGTGAATTGAGGTCCATATTTTATTTTTACTTTCTTGAGGATTCCTTGGTAATTAGGAAAATATCAAACATTCGTTTTAATTTTGTAATATTATAGCTTCTCTAATTATGTTTTAGTTGGGCATCAAGTATCTATTTGTTCATTCAGAGGTTTATATAATAAGAACTATAATAAGAAACTGATCAGGTAACTTTTTTCGTTTCTATCTCACACTTTATATAAAGACTAAAGTGAAAGTTCAAACCAATGTAACGACTCTTTTTCCACAAGTGTTAGTTTCCACAAATTTATGTTTAAATTTCTCAATCTTTAGTCATCATTTAGGAATAGTGCAAATATATAATAGTCCAAATTATGATACAAAATTTCTATTGATGTTCCATTACTTTCCAATAGTAAATCATTCAACTATTCACACAAGCACGCCATTTTCATCTATAAGGAGAAGTACTAAAATATTTACATAATTACTAAAGACTAGTATATGAATAACTCTCAGTCATTTGATTGAATGCAGCAAAATGATAAAATGAAAAATTGAATATAAAACGTAGAATAAGGTATTAACACATGAAACATAGAAATAAAACAATTCTGCCCCATAATTTACATAAGATCTTTCTTCACGTAAGGTGCAAATAATATTGTTACTATCTTATAAGAAAATAATGAGCGTTCCCAATGAAAAAGAAAATTATATTTCTAAATACACAAGATCTTTCTTCGCGTAAGGTGCAAATAATATTAATACCTCATCAGAAAATACTGAAAGTTTGTGACATAGAATACTGTCTAGTGCGAATGGTTAACAATTTTGTTATAACAATTCCCTACCTTCGTTTCCTTCGTCGCCACGTGCCAAACTCGCACCGTTTGGTCATTCGAGCAACTAGCAATCAGCTCACCGCAAGGACTGACCCTGGCCATTCGTACCCATTCTCTGTGCCCTGTTAACGTCTTAACACAATAACCCGTCGCGACTTCCCAGATTTTGATGGTCTTATCCCTAGAGGCGCTCACTACGAAATCGCCTTGTGGCACAAATGCGACTGAGCTGACACTGTGATCATGTCCGTGCATGGTTTTCACGCAGGCGAATGACTGGTGAAAGTCCCACAATTTAATAGACATGTCCGCGCTGCATGAAACTAACAGTTTTCCGGAGACGTCGAATGAAACGTCCTGCACGCTGTCGGTATGTCCTTTCAATGTTCTTTCAAATTCACCGCTCTCGAAGTCCCACACCTGAGTGAAATGTGAACGGATCAGACGGCCGGTTTAGGTAACGAGATCTCCAAGCATTGACACATGGGAAATGTTGAAAGTAAGTAAATCTTAGGAACATCGTTTACTATTTCCTGCACAATTTATTTATAGAATAAGAGATTTCGAACTTCTATTTCATGTACGAATGTGAAAAGTCTGACACAGCGAAAGAAGATAATTGAGTTTCATTAGAGAACGAATAAAAATAATCCTTGATTCTCTAAACGCTGTGGGAATACGTTCTGTGAAACATGGACTTTGAATTTATAAATATGTTTTAATACGAAACGTTTCATTTGAGAAGCTTCGCTACAGAGGTGCAGCATTATAGAAGTTAATTAAAGAAATGAATAGTATTTCATTCAACCTTGTGCAAAGTATTCTATAGAGATATGAATAGGTATATAAATGTCTACAGATCTTACTTTGATAATAGCAGTTACTCCGTTCCAACATTTTCCAATTATGTCACCTCGGGCCTCATGTTTACCTTAATGGTGGCATCTTCGCTTGCAGACACTATAAGACTAAAAACTGGGTGAAAAATAACTCTGTTGATGGGAGCTCTGTGCCCAGTGAGACTAAATTTTTCTGGTGGCCTTGGTATCCACTCTGATGGTGATCTTTTGCTGCGTGTTGGTGCTCCCTCGATGAATTCTTTCTCTGCTTCGGATAATTTGGATTCCAATTCCATTACCTACAAATGAAACGAACAGTTGTCAGTTGTAATAGCCAATTTATGTTTCATACGTTGACGTACCACCTACACCTTTGTAACAGAGATACATAGGAATAATTATTAATTATTTGCTATCAGAATTCACGTTACAATATTATCTAGTTATTTACGTTATTGAATATTTTTCCATGTTACTTATCTTATGAATTATAATTGTTTTGTCATCTCTGGTCACCAGTGACCACTGTGGCAGTCAACGTTAAGCAAAGTAGATAATTAGATTTTTCAAATTCAGTTGAATAGTTCTTTAATCTTTTTTAGGTGAATTTAAAGTTCACCGAATGAAATATTGATTATCTGAAAACATTTCTAAAATCAACGTGCAATAATAATCTAATTCCATCAAACAATTTAACATTATATTTTTTCATTTTGTATTTTCTAAAAATTGCACAGCATTCAACGTGTTAATAATTATTCTTATTTATCTTTGTTACAAAGGTGTCAGTGTTCAACTTGTTAAATATTTCACCTTTTTTTGTAGACGTATCACCGAGGTCCATTTCTTCTCCAGCAGACCTCCGTATTTTCTTTCGACCTCGCCGGGTATGTCAGCTTCTTTCTTGAACGCCTCGAGGGCATTTTGGTAGCCATTGGTGCTGAGATAGTCTGCGATCGCCTTATTTCTGCAAGAAGGTACCAATTATTTCATATCCGACTCGCATTCCTTACCAGGCATAATAATTCTTCCGTTTCGAGTACGTTAATACTAGAACTACAGAGTAACTCAAGGACATTTACTGTACAGTTTCTCCTATTGTTCTTAGAAACACTGAGATTCATTTACGTTTTGGAAATTAGAAGCTTAACCCCTTGACCTATATATTTCTTAACTCTGGTCGATGCGGCTGCTGTCATGAATAATTTATTGGAAAAAGAGAAAAATTCTATATTTCCTTTTAACTATAATAGTTGATTACAGACGAATAATATTCACTTTTTTAAACGTAATTAGGCGCTGATTTACACTGTTTCCCATCTGAATTCTCAAAATTGATATATTGACGTGATCAATGAGTAAATGAATTTTCAACTAATTACAGTAATCAGTTATTTAAATGCTATGCGGCGAAAACAGTTCATAGTTGAAAAACCACCTGGAGTAAGGGTCAACCCTTCGACGAACGTCGTTTCGTCATGAAATTTTCACGTGTCCAGCACCGAGTCGCAAATGACCTCATACTAAAACAGCGAGAGATCAACGCGTAGTTTTTCCTATCATTTAAGCAATTGTATCTTTCAGCGTCTGCCGAAGGTTTC